TTTTGTATTGTAAAAAAAATGAAAAAAAGGAAAACAATAGGGGCCACCTCCCTCATTTTTTTTAAATATGCGGACAAGAAAGTTTTTTTTACTCTGGCCTTAGAAATTGAAAAAACTACAATTTGAAATTTGATGAAAATATTTACTAAGAAATAATAAAGCTGCAGGGAAATGTTGACTGGATTGAGTGAAATCCTAAACGTTAGCGGGAATGAGAGATCTCTTTTCAAGGCTAAGAAATTAAAACGTCAGGCCTTCTAAACTTTCATGCTTTGAATAGTTGACCCCAGATATTTCATTCCCCAGCAACCATATTCTATTGTTAAGTACCAGTCTAAACTTTGAAATCTTAAGTTAAAAAAAGGTTTTCCTAAGTGCACAAAAGGAAGTACTGTTTGATTTAATACTTGCACTGTTTGATTTACTGTAAATAGTTGAAAAATGATAAAACATGGATTCCATATAATATCAAGGGTTGATTTCAAGTCAAAGTTATAGCTGATCAAATACATATCTTATCCATTTTGTTTTTATAATTGCAGTATATCAGTTTAGATTTTTTTTTTTTAGCCAAGAGACATTTGAAAAGTTTAAAGGCAGCGTTTTAAGCAAACACAGTTTCTCTTTGCCGTGATGAAGGCCACAAAAACTGATATTAAAAGGAATATGGATTCGACAACGGTTCGGGGGAGAACGCGAAATTAAACGCGTTATACTCGAGGTTTACCCCAAGGTTTATGGGTACCAACTAGGTACACCCTGAGTTTACTGCTTGTTAGGTTTTACATTCTTCTCTCATAATTGTTTTCTCATTTTTCTCCCATGGTACAGAGAGGCCAACGAAAAACTAGGAGCCAAGATCAAAGAGCAGAGCCAGACGATCAGAACGCTGAACAAGGAAAAAGAGTAAGTTGATGTTGTCACAGTGCCAAAAAAAAATCCTGATCTTTTAAACACTGATTAGAATTGAAATGGTTCTTGAAGAATGACGTTAACTCAAGCAATGTAAGCTGTGTAAAATCCTTCAAGGAAACATGCAGTGGGAAATCAGCTCATCTTGTTTTCATGCACATTACTATGTGTTGCAACAATACATACAAGATCTTAATACTTGTTTGCATTGGAAGTGACAAGAAAGTGGGTTTTTTTTTTCAATTATAGCAATCCTTTCATCAATACATGTAAGAGGGCGCCTATTTTGCTTTTGTCTTACAAGGTACTTCTTGTCAAAAGTGCATATGAACAGTACAAAAATTAGTCCTTCACGAAAATTACCCACAAAAAGTTTTGAAGCAATATTGGCCACTACTATTGTCCAAACAACGCTGATAAACAAGTAAAAATGGAACTTACTCCAGAAATTGAAGAAAAGTTGATATATATTTGTACATAAAGATATGGAGACACTACTGTTCTACCTTTAATGACATCACGCTTTGGCTCATGAATATGGAAATTTTTATTAGCATAAAAACTTAAATGTTGAAATTTCTCCCTTTTACTGCTGCAGAGAGGGGAAAGTCATAGTTACATGCCAAGAAAGCTGTTTTAAATGTATTTAAGTCATAAAAATCCTAGTACATGTTCCCTTTCAGGTTGTGAAAGGGACTGCGGTTGGGATTGGAATCATTTGCCTGGCTATCAGTCATCATGGCAAGACTCAGTTTAATGCTCAAGGGCAAATGATTCCAATCCCAAACCACATCAGCCTTTTTTTCACGACATGTAGGATCTTACACAGCTTACATAACACAGCACTGAAATTGATTAAGGCAAGGAACTTGCTCACAGTGTCGAAAAAAATGTTGTTGTGATCAATTGACATTTGTGTAGTGATGCGTGACTGAAATTAAATGAAAACTCATAGGGGTTTAGGCTAAAGATAAGGAGTATCTGCACAATCAGACATTTTCAAAATTGACTCCATGGTTTTGTAGTTATTTTCAAATGTAGTCAGACGGACACTTTTTGGGGGCCATACTGTAAATGCATGTATTTCTGTAATTATTTTGTATTTTGTCATTAGGTAAGAAGTTAAAGTCTTTAAAATGTTTCAACAGAAGTTTGTACAGTTTTACTAACTTTAACAAAGTCACAGCCCCAAGCTGTTGCAAAGAGTAAATGTAGTCTCTTGATTTCCAACCGACAGTCAGCTCCTGGAGAGCGGGGAGGTCCTCCAACAGTCGGTCAGTCGTCTCAAGCTGCTGAGAACGAGATCTGCAAGTGGCTGCCGAGCGCTTCAAGGCTCTGCAGAGCCACTCCTCACACAACAGATGCTGCTGCAACAACTCAAGAGCAGACTTGAAGAACACGAGTAAGTTTATTTTTTACATTTTAATTATTCTTCATGAAGTACACTGGCAATGTACATGTAGCTTGAAAGTGGGGGAGAAAACTGAAAGAGAGAATACAGCGAAAAATCCATGTTGGCCTGGTTAGGACTTGAACCTGGATCACTGGCGTTAAATGTATCTACGATTTAACAAGAAAATCCTTGTTCAAAGTGAAGATAGGACTGGTACCAACTACCCTGTGAACTTATGCCACCTGAAATGGAATGAAAACAATCATTGAAGATGGTTAAGAAAGTGTGCCCAAAATGTGTATGATTCAATTTTGATTGTTTCATGTTGATTGTCTTTTATGCATACTGGGACCCACAGGAGACCAGTGGATTCCACTGAATGGGACATCCAGTTAAAATAAAAGACAGAAAGAAAGAAATCTAGTTACGAGGCCCCCAAAAATTGTGCATACGTTTTTTTCTCTGGTTTCTCAAGATGTATAGTATACACTGAGCTAAAACTTCAACAAGTTGCACCCTTCTTAAGATTTTGAACAATTTTGTTGTTTCGAATGGAAAAAAAAAAACCCTCAAAAAGCAATTGATCACTTGTATCGTTAAGCAAGGATAGTCCCAAAAACCTGACTCATCATTTTTGCATTGAAACTCTACATCTTAAATGCACAGGAATTTGTTCTATATACATCAACAATAGGAGTTTAGTTTGTTAAACATCCTGCAGATTCTCAAAGTGACAATGCAAACATGTATCTTAAAAAACTCTGTGTTGTAATCAATATATTGCTTTCTTGCCAACTGCTATCCTACTTGAACAAAACAAAATAATTCCCAGACAAATTGAGATATTTTCAGTTCTGCTTGACAAAACACGCCTGGAGTTAATTTTTTTTTACCGAAGTAAAGCAGAAAATTTATCCTAGCAAATTCAAATGTCAAACCAAAAAAAGTCACACTTGCTAACGTTTAGCTTCTAAGATTTATATATTTTGGCTAAGCAAATCTCTGAGCTTGGGCAAATAGCAAAACAAAACTTGTCCCCTGGTTTTTGCACTTTATATGCACGTCTGTGCTGTGAAATGCAATCACATTTGGCATAGTTTTTCTGCAACACTAAGCACAACTTTCATGCTAGCTGTTAAAAGTCCCTGTTCCACCTAAAACCACCCCAGCACTGTATGGTCTTATGACTTCATCAGGGAATAAGTACAATTTTAGTTTAGGTAAAGGTAAAGGTCCCATAGCCATTACTGGCCATAGGGGCAGTGGGATGTTAGAGGTCCACTGTGTCTTGGGCGTGGCATATGAGCGGCGGTGCCCAGTCCTCTCCTCTCGCTGTCTTACCTTCCCTGAACGAATCAGGTACCCATTTTATTGTTGGGTCGTCAGAGAGAGTTTTCCAGGTTTTGGTCCGAATGGGATTCAAACCGCCAACCTTCCACTCGGTAGCTCCACGCTCTACCCGCTTGGCTACGAGGCCCCTAATTTTAGCATAATGAAGTACAGAGGCTAACTAAGGGGTTCAGTACCATCATGATATTGAACCCTTGTTTAGCCTTCTCATTTACCCCCTTCTCCAATCGTCTCTCAGAACCGACCAGGAGCAGGAGATCTCGGAGAAGCTAGGGACCATCGAGGACCTCCACGCCCGCCTCAGGGCCAACGTGAGCACCATCCAGCAGCTCAACGAGCAGCTGCACTCCCTCAAGCAGGAGACGGTCCGCCAACGCTCAGACATTGAGAAAGAGAGAGCGGCCAGACAGAACCTGCAGATGCAGCTGGAGAGCAGGGAACAGGCTCTCAACAGCCTCAAAGCTCAAGTAAGTAGTGACTACGGCTATGGATTGTTGTTGCAGTAGCTTGTGGATAAGACTGTTTGACTTCCTTTTGTTTTAAAGCTATAGTCCATCATTTGCAGCTATCAGAAAAGTAACTGGCCTAATTATTGTTGAAAAACATACTTGGTTGAAAGATAGTAAGGGGACTAAACTCCCTGTGAAATTATTCTTCCTGGCAAGCTGTCATTTAGAAGTAATCAACGAAAGAAGGCCTTTCCAACGGTGCTTCTTAAGACGTACCGTAGCAAATTTGAATTAGTAGTTCGTTTTGTTATTCGGCGAAGCGCGCAAGCATTGGCACGACGCACACGCACGCGCGGTTGCTATAATTCGTCGGATCAGTGCGCGACATCACGTAAAGCTGCAATTCAAAACAATTCGAAACATGATTCAGCAACTTTTGATTTGAAATTGAAATCCTAGAATGTTGTTTTTCTCGGAATATACAGCTGAAGCTGAGCTGAAACTTCATCGGGTTAGTTGTTCAGTACCCTTCTTTAGATTTTGAGTGCTTTTGTTGCGTAAAACGAACAAAATGCACAAATTACAAGTGATGGACTATATCTTAAAATCTTGGCTTGGTGTCTGTATTCTGAGACGAACCCATAGCCATTAGTTTTGACTATGGCTATGAATTGCCGCAGTAGCTTGACTTCCTTTTTTCGTAACCTTGGCTTTGTAACACGTTTATAAGCTGCTCCATCACACTATTATCCCCTTATTCAGTGCTGCCCTACTATTTAATGCAACCAAACTTGTGAGTCATTAAAGATATAGTCCATCATTTGTAATTTGTGCATTTTGTTCGTTTGAAGCAACAAAAGTGTTCAAAATCTAATGAAGGATACTGAACAACTAAACTGATGAAGTTTCAGCTCAGCTTCCGCTGTATATTCTGAGAAAAACAGCATTCTAGGATCTCAATTTCAAATCAAAAGTTGCTGAATCATGTTTTGAATTGCAGCTATACGCGATGTCGCGCACTGATCCGACGAATAATAGCAACCGCGCGCGCCTGTGCGTCGTGCCAATTCTTTTGCCCAGCGCCGAATAACAAAACGAACTACTAATTTAAATTTTCCTACGGTGCGTCTTAAGACGCACCGTTGGAAAGGCCTTCTTTCGTTGATTACTTCAAAATGATAGCTTGCCAGAAAGATTAATTTCACAGGGAGTTTAGTCCACAAACTATCTTTCAACCAAGTATGTTTTTCAACAATAATATGCCAGTTACTTTTTTGGATGGCTGCAAATGATGGACTATAGCTTTAAGTCACAATGCTGGCAACATTAGCGAACCTGCTGCACACCTTGCAAACGGCGATCGGAGTCCACCTAAAAAAGATGCAGCATTTAATTTGCTCAATCTTGATAGAGACTGTTTTTTGTTTGTTTTAAACTTGTAGATGGAGTCAGAGAGATATCACCGGTCTGTGAATGGCACCACGCCTCGTCGTGGTGGGGAAAGCTACACAAACGGTTCAGCACCAGACTCGGCCTATGCCTCGTCGTTGGGGAGGGGATCGCAGCGACAAAACAAGGACAAGGTAAATTCTTAGTGATCAGAAGAGAGATTTTGCTCTCGGAGTCACTTATTTATGTGTCATCAAAATGAACGGTTTTTGTGGCGTTTTTTCCCCACAGATGCAGTCAGCCATCAACAGCGCCCTCAAGGACGCGGGTGTGAGCGACCCGAACACGCTGGACAAGTCGTACTGGATCCAACGCGTCGGGGAGCTCTCGCTACAGCTGCAGCAGAGCAGCGAGTTCTGGTCGGACAAAGTGCGGGATCTGTCGGCCCAGTTGGGGCGTTCACGAAGTCCCTCGCCTCATAAATGATGGACACGTTCTTTTATTGGCGATTGACTACTTGAGGAACAAGAAGGGCCAAACTTCAACATATCGGCCAATTTTGCGTGCAGAAAAGTGTATAAAAGAAAGGCCCAAATACACGGTCCAAAATGTTCTGTTCTTGAACGACATATTGGGGGCTGGGCATAGAACTGTATTTATTACTAGACAGCAAACGTACACAATGTAGCCATCTGAACGCATCCATGTTTGTGCATAACTTGTAGAAAGCAAAATAAAATTGTACAGCTTTACGCATATCTGTGTTTGTATTTAAGCCTATATTATAAACATATGTTCAAAACAAAACAAATAACCAGCAAATAAGCAGTCTATTTTGTTCTACACTAACAATGCACACAACTGCACGTGTGCTACCGATGAATCGTATGTTTTACCAATGAATTCTGTATTACAAATGGACAACCATGCCTGTTCAGCCCTTATGGTTTTCTGTTCTGCATTCAGAGCTCACCAGGCACACTTCCATTCCATCTAATTTCAATCTTTTCTATAAGTCCACATACATGAATTCAAAATGTCTGCGCTCCAAATGCTTAATAAAAGTATTCTGCACATGCAAAGGACGAGTCCATAATTTATTATAGCTCTAAGGAGTGGTGACACTTTAAAACAATTCCTATATCATGGAAGTTCCATGCACTGACACATTACATTCCTTAAATAGTTCAATATTAGTGTGCCTTCGTTTCTTAGACTGTACTGTAGCAGTTGTAGAAGTTGTAAATATTGGAGTTTATATTTATGAAATGTATAGAGTGTATGAATAGTGCTCTTTTTTACTTTTACATGAGGTTCTTGTTTCGATCTGTATTTTTAAACGGTACCATACAGATACATTGAATACACAGTTTAGAATTTTATATTTGGTCTTTTTAACTTCAAAAATAAAGTTCGAAAATGAACCAATGTTTACACCATCTTTCCACATTTGGAGGTAGTTTGCCATTTTCCACCCAAAGTAGTTTCTTCTAGTTGAAAAGACTTATCCCTATCCAAATGAAGTACATTTTTAAAAAGATGATATAACATGAAATGGGTTAAGCTCTTTATATAAATTTTTACAAATTTTTTTAACATTTATGCAATTGCCAAATTTTCACTTTGCCCTTTTAAGATAAAAGAAAAAGTCTGACCAACTTTTATGAAGGTATGACAGTATTATTTGTTGCAGTCATTTCTACATTGAAAATGTATTAATGAAACCTTGTATTGCTCGTTTTTGTAAAGGTCTTTTGACATTTCGATCATTCCCCTTTTTTGTATATTAACAGTACAATTTACAAAAAGTACTTTTGACTGCATTCTACTGAAATGAAACATTTTCTATTGATATAAAAATTGTAAATATGAAAATATCAATTTTATTTCAGTAATGTACTTTTTCATATACAGTATAACAGTTCTGAATTTTTACAGATATTATTTACTAAACTTTTTTTTTTAATGTGTGAAGTGAAAATATTGATCTTTCTTAGAATAGTTTCTTTGATTTTTAATTCATTAGGCTTCGACAACATTGCCAACTACTGATTTTCAATGATTCCGTCCCTATCGTTTTCTCAGAAATAGCTTTTAAGTTTTGTATAATTCCTTAACAGTACTTATCGTAGATTTGATCTGATTTGGGTTTTTTCTTGGTTGATGAAATAGCTCTTGTTGACATGTTAAGCCCCAAAAAAAAAGTCTCCGGTTTCTGGTATGCGCGCGCGTCGCCGTAGCCATGCGCGTCGGCAAAATGAAAAAGTTTTCTTTTCAATGAAAGATGATGTCTCAAAACCGCCAAACTCACTGGTTTGACTGGAATCCTGCTGCTGCACAATTTTAACGTGTTTTTAGATGGGGTTATGATCGAGAATAAGCTTTATGTGGCCTCTCTGGTCTCCCATAATATTTGCACTAAGTTTAGTCGGGCACCATTAGCAGTCATCAGCCGACATTTGAAGCAAAAAAAAACAGGTAAAAAAAAAAAAAAAAAGCCGCGTCACCGCACCACTTTTTGGGCAAGCTCCATACCAGAAACCGGAGACTTTTTTGGGGGGCCTTATCTCAGGAATTTTTCCAAACACTTGTGAAGTCTCTCAAAGGATGATTGAAATAAAAAGATCAATCTTCTGCAGTTAAAATAATTTCACAATAACTTACAAATAGGTTCCAAGGTTGAAATTTATTTGGATGTAACAACTTTAGTCAACAGTTTTTTAATCATTTTGGCCATTAAAGAAATAAAAATTTCAAAATTTCGAATTTTAAATATGATGGGTCTTTCCCAATGACATCGTCAGTGGACTTTCCCTGTCAGAAAAATCCTCAGGCTCCGAGGCTCATAATATAAAAGAGCCTTAATTTCGAAAAGCTTCAGTTCCTCAAGAGGGCGCTATACCTTATTGGAGGTTTATAAAATCCCGGCTTCGTGCAGGCTTAGTCTTCGTACTGTAGCCGAAGGTTCAACTTAAAAGAATCCTGCTGCGTTCATATTCGTGCAATTAGACCATGCAAAAGCCTTGAGTGGCAGAATCGATGTTCCGTAGCAGAAAATGGCCCAAATATTGTACTGGACCCGGTCAAGCTGAGGATTAAAATCATGCGGCTGGGCTCACTGAAGCGCAAAGCGGAGACGAAGTCAACAATTTGTGTAAACCCCCACAATATCGACTAGCGCATGTTCCGTGCATGACGCAGGGTCATGATCATGGAGCTATAAAAAGGCTTTTTATAGCTCCATCCATGGTCTGATCAACCGACCGCGTGTTTTACTCCGGTTATACGTCAAGGAAGACACGGAAATGAACAAATCCATAAATCTAACAAAGGCCTAATCACAGGAGGTACGATAGAGGAATTAACTGAAATGAGGACACGAGAAGAAAAGGATGACGTATTCCGAGGTCTGTATTAAAATGCCAGTAGCTTTATTTGTAGTCAACTCGAGTTTCGTCCTGTGTCTTGGTTTCGGGACATTTCTGTGACCTGATGTCACTCTTTATCCGCCTCCACTGTGGATAGAAAACAAAATAATGGTCTCAGTTAACTAAAAAAAAATGTGGGGAAAAATGTTGCAACCTGACGCCACTTTTTTCTTCATATATCATCTCAATGAAGGTCAGTCATAGCAAAAATGATGATAAGACATGAACTTATCTGGGACTGAGAAACTGCATTTCTAAGTTTGTGAGGAAATACTTAGAAATGTGTTTTGACTCCCCATAGACTTTGCACACAACCGCCGAAGTGGCGTCAGGTTGCAACATTTTTTCCCAAAATGTGTGTGCCAAGATTTGAGAATATAGCGCTAATTTATTGCCGATTTTTTTTTGGGGGGGGGGGAGCAAATCACCCCCCTTTGCCCCCTCCCATCCCACTTTCACCACCTATTTTCTACATTATAAGCCTAACATTATATTATAGATTATAATGATATTCTTTATATACCATATAGATTTAGGTTAATTCTAGAAAATTTGAATTTTTTTTTCTCCATCGTGTAGGCCTACCTGCCAAATAATCCACCAGTTCCCTGCAAATAGCTGGTAGACTGCTACCATGCTGGTTACTCGCCGCAACTTGGACAATGTACACGTTGTCACGGAGGTTGAACTGTGAACCCTGACGTATCAGATGCCTGTAGGAAAAAAATAAATCTTCGAAAGATTAATTGATTAACAAAGTACAAGAATTTCTGAAATCGTTTTCTGCATAATCGTTCGTCAACGAATTTGATATTTTGAAACCAATAGACCTTTAGGCCTAGGTATAGGCCTATCTTCGGGTATATTGAGGTAGGCCGATGTCTAATTGGTAACGTAAACCAACCTATACTATTTGAACACACAATTCAGTGTACATGTAATTATTTATCATAATTAAGAATACAAAATTATGTGATTTGCGCAATCTCCAGGCTTCGTATGCTAATAAAGCTTGTACCTTAATTAATTACAACGAAACAAGCGCAGTGGAAAGTTAGACTATATCAAAAGGTGTTTTGGGCAAATGTTAAGAGCATTTATTATTTTCGATTAGTCAGAAACTGCATGATTCCCGACCCTGTGATTTGCGTGGGAACCTCATCTAGCACGATCCACGGCTTGTCAATGGTCATCTTGATATCTCGGATCATCACGTGGTACATGGTGGGCGCGGTGTGGTTGGACCACGTGACCGGCGACCAGCGAATCAGCACCTTGTATTCCCGCTCGATGGCGTAGTTCCCGTACTCGATCGTGACCGGCGCGGGCGGAGCCGGAAAAGCTGAAAGTTTGAAGAAAAAGATGGCAAGTATACATTCATGTAGCGTATTAAATTATGTTCCACTATGGGCTCTAACAAAATGATGGTTAATTTCTCAACAAAATTTGGCCGCCAGCTCACCACGCTCCCCGGCGAATTTTGTAAATTGGTGCCTTTTCATCAACGTATTTCTGGGCCATTACACAAATAGATGATATCGGTAGCCTTCTTTCCGAAGGATGAAATAACTACTCGTATTCTTTATTACTAAGGATACGGACGTGACATCCATTTTTGTAAAGGTTAAGGGTCTAAATAGTTATGATCATATGCTTTTTGTGCATGTTTTCGTGTGAAGCCATAACATTCCTCAAACTCTTATATGGGGTGCATCACACCTTATCGTGCTGAATCCGCTCAGTGGATACCATACGTTGAGAATACAGGGAAAAAGTATGCACAAGTTTTTTAGGTCTCGTTATACTGGATTCCGTTGCTAATAGCGCGCAAAAATAAGACTAAGTGTGCCCACGTACACTGTATCTTGAAACCACCTTTTAACTCGCGTTCATTATTTTCGATTTTCATCCCAAATTAAATTGATTCCTCTTCTTATTAATGGCCCTTATTTTGCGAGTCGGCCATATTGGATTGAGACTTTGAGAGTGAGGTAAAATCTTCATTTTTGGAACTTGTGTAGAGAAATGGAAGCAATGATGTTGCAAATTAATACCAGTCTGCTCTGATGAATAATTTAAAATTTGTGATTAGACATACTCTAATGTTTTAAGCCACATTTAAAAAAAAAATGAAACTGAGGCTATAGTGAATAAATAGCCTGACACCATCCCATTCAGCAGTTCACAAATTATGAAATACATGTACATTCAGGGAACACGACAACAATGGCCAAAATTGTACATAAGGCCCATTGATATATTTCTCAGTATTCTAGCAATACAAAATATCTAACTTTTTAATGAGACATGAACCCAAACAAATCGCCCCATGTTTAGTTATTGAATTATTACTTTACAATTTCGAATAATTGGCTGCCAGACAATAATTCCATTCTCGAGGGCTAGGCTGGTTCCCGCCCCACGATCAGTATCGAATGTGCGGATCGGACCAGTCTGCTTGCGAAGCGGGTCTGTTTGTGCCCTAACCAAAAAGTCTTTTTTAAGAGGGTTGTAGACGTCAAAAAAATGGGAGGAAATTATGTCTTTTTGTTGGAATAAAAAAATCAAGTTAGTTTCCTTATAAACGAAACCATGCATGGGGCGAAATATTTTCACAAGGTATTCGATATCAGTGTTCATCTTCATTTTGGGCAAGTTTTCTGTCATTGAATCGATAGGTACTTGGTTTTTTTTTCCATACCATGTCTGAGTGTCTTTACCACCGTGACCTGACTGTGGCCGCTAGTGGCCGCGCCGTACCCATGCTTGGCCGTCAAGCACAGCTCGTACTCGGTGGACGCTGACAGCCCGCGGACCGTCATGGCGAACGTGGAGTTGTCTTTGGTAGGTAGAGTCCGGAACGACGTCAGGTTGTAGATGGGGTAAGGGTGGACCTCCGACTTCGGGTGGATTAGTGTGTGGAGGCTTTCATTGCCGGTAAGTCTGCAAGGGAGACAAAAAAGGTTTCGAGTATAAAAACTTGAATACACTCATAAATGGCCAAACGCCATTTTTTTCTCACCTCAACGGCACAAGCGGTCTACTCGTGCATCTATGGAACAAAAGAGCAAACAGGAGAGCTGCAATGCAAACGATATTAATTAAAACCTGCTGTGAGTTCATGCTCTTTTTAAATTACTCAGAAATTTGTTGGTCAAAACAAATTCGCATTCCACTTGTTCCCTATTCGA